AGGGTTTAGAGTTTAGGGGTTAGAGTTTACGGGTTAGAGTTTACGGGTTAGAGTTTCGGGGTTAGAGCTTAGGGTTTAGAGCTTAGGGTTTAGAGTTTAGGGGTTGGAGCTTAGCGGTTAGAGTGTAGGGTTTAGAGCTTAGAGGTTGGAGTTCAGTTCACCTCACGTTCAACCGGTGATGAGTATCCACCCACCAACCATTCGGATCCCATACTATAGGGGCCTTAATAACTAGAATAGGGTTTTGGGGGTGTATTCTACTATAATCATAATAAGGACCCCCCCCCCCCCTCAAATAGTTTTGGTAACTATTGAGGCCTTTATATTAGCATACTATAATCATAGTCATAATCACTAAGGCCCTTATATTAGCATTGTTAAAGGGACCCAAAGCTTTCACAACCACCCATTCAGGTGTCGGGAGTTGGGATTTCTGCTCGGGGATTGAACAAGGTGAGTTCGGCACCCTAAACGCTCTTAGAGCCCCTGGATTCTGTGGACATTTGAGACTCTTGACCCTGAACCCTAAGCCTTAAACCCTAAACCTTAAATCCTAAACCCTAAACCTTAAATCCTGAACCTTAAACCCTAAACCCTAAGCCGCTAAACCCTAAACCCATGGGGCCAGGGTGCACCTGTGCGGCTCAGGGATTTACGGTGTAGACTCTGGGATCTCAACTGTAGGCTTGGGGGTCCCCAAGGGTTTGCACTTTGAAGGTTCTGGCCTGGTGCTTAGGGTTCAGGGTTTAGGGTTTGGGGTTTATTATACCGGGTTCTGGTTAAGGAGTTCAACTTTAAGTTGGCACAAGCAGGAGACATTACTATTTACTATGGATTTCTGTTACGATAACTTAAGCTCGTTAACAACCCAAAGGATCCAAAGTGCCTATATAGTCGAATGCAGGGTCGAATCCTCGTTATGGTTTGGGAAAGTATCACCCATCACAGTACCTAGGACCCTTTGGGCAAGAACCCAGTACATGCTGACACAACATGAGAGTTTCAGAAAATAGGGGACCCTGATATAGCACCCTAAATAATAAGATCCTTATTATAAGGACTCAAAAAAACGGTACCCTAATTTTCTGAAACTACCACATACAACACCAGCGCGATGGCTCTGAAAGTCGATCCAGTGCTGGCCAACCCTAAACCCTGAAGCGTGAATGTAGGGGCCTTAATAACTAGAATAGGGATTTGGGGTACGTTATACTTTAGTTATTATAGTAAGGAACCTCAAAATAGTACAGGTAACTATTCAGGCCCCTTTATTAAGTTTCAGTAAGATTGACGAGGACTCCTACTTCCAACAGTCCGTCTGAAGGCCATGAAATTTAGGGCTTTATGGCTTTACGTGTTAATCCTACTTGTTGAACCGGGCGAGAAACTTAAACTCTTACCCCTAAACACTGAAGCCCTAAACCTCGACCCTAACATCCCTCACCCCTCATGCATTCTATAATTATATATATATATATATATATACATACACACTCATACATATATATATATATATATGTAGACACGTTGACATACATATACAAGTACATACATACATACATACATACATACATACATACATGCATGCATGCATGGAACCTTACAGATCTATGTGTATTTAAAGATGGTTCGAGAACTCTTATAGTAACGCTTCTAAAGATTCTAGCACCCCATCTAGTAACTAGTAACGGGCTGTGCAGCCCTAAGCCCGAAATCTTCGAGTCGGGCGGCAGGAAGACTGTATGCTCCACGAAGGTGCCATCACTCTTGTCCCCGCACTCGAACTTCAGCATACCAGTCCAGATCATCCGTTCGAAAGCTGCTTTGCCGCAGTCCTTGGCTTGACCCTTACTTAAAAGAGAGGTTCCGGGCATGTAGATTGGTCGGTTGTTAGCGGGTTTTGGTACAGGGTGACTTATTCTCGCTATTGCCCCCCCCCCCCAAACAGCCGCCTTTCAATTAGAGTAACTAGGGCTGTTTGCACCCAGAAAGGTTTTAATTAGCCTCCTCTGGTACTAGATCTGGTTACTCAAGCTTGCCTGTAAATCATAGCATACTTAGTACTTCCACCAATGGAGCCAAGAACTGCAAAACTCGTCTTCTCGGATCTTTATATCTGTACGTATGCATGTCTGTATGTATGTA